AGGCTGGGGCTCTTTCTGACTCCGTTTATGTCGGGCTCCTGTGGGGTCAGTTCCTAGCTGCCAAGAGCTTTATCCAAGCCCGTGCTGCTCAGCCTTATTTTCAGTGCCATGAGCTCCGTGAACTCCGTGAGCTCCGTGTATGTCTTGCTCGGTTAACCAAGAGCGCCCTGTGCTGGAGGCAGCCCCTGCTGGCGGCGTTTTTTACAGTAGTTGGTTGCATTTGCAGCACTCCGTGGCTCTGTCAGACTCTCTTTGTGTTGGCCTTTATTGCAGGTGCTGTGTGGAAGATTTGAACAGTTGGCCGTTGTACCTGTTGGTTCGGAGGTGGCCCGACCTTGCTGTTTGTCGTGCTGGGTTTCGTCATCCGTATCCCTGCTGTCAGTGCCCTGGGCGCGTGGAGCGGTCGTTATTGCAGAGCCGGTGTTCAGTTCAAGCCCTAGTTGGCCGTTTAGTCAACCCTTAGCGGGCACATGTTTGGCATTCTCGCGTGTCTATCGTCCATTCCTTCAGTGGGCGTCCGTCAGCGTTTGTTGAGGGATCCGTCGCGTTTGTGGCCGGTGGGTCAGTCTGTGCGCGGATGGAGAGCACTGGTTTGACCTCGTCCTTGTGGTTTTGGCAGCGTTCTGTTTGTTCGCTCTTTTGCCTATGTAGAGATGGCGTGTACGCCGTCCTTGCTGCTGGAGTATCGTTTGGAGGTCGTTGAGGCGTTTTGCTTGGGGAGCTTTATTTCGTGTCGGTGTGTGTGCCTGTCTGGCAGCTCTCGCGTCCTTTGTCCCTCTAGCGGCCCGTCGCGTTGCGCCGTTTTGGTGCTCAGTTTGTTTGTTTGTTATTTCCGCTAGAGGGGGTATCTTCTCCTTTGGCATTTACCTATGGAGCAACAACTAATGCGAGCTTGCGTTAAGTAAGCTGGGTTAGTTGGGCGTAAGGCCCAATGCGTAACTGTTAGACTAACTGTTTCGCAACGGCCCGTGTCCTCAGGGCCGTCATTTATTGCGCGCATTAAGCTGGTTAGCTTATCTTGTTTTTGTTGTTCAGCGCGCGCCCGCCCGCCCGCCCGTTTA